TGGGTCCTGGCCATAGTGCCCAGGCCTTAGGTCACCCACAGAGCTGTACAGTCGGAGGTTGCCGTTGACTAGTGAGCTGGTACCTGGAAGGAGGGAGAGGCAAATATGAGGAGGCCAGTGAGGCCGACCAGCCTTGCCAATCTCTGTGTGCCCAGGGCAAGGTCGGGTGGGCAAGCCAGAGGGGAACTGGCCAGGGTCATGCCTCTCCTCCTGAGCACCAAGCGAGGGAGCAGCAATGTGTCCAGCCTCCTGAACTGTCCTGGAAGTGGCCCCCTTCCATCTAGGGAAGGACCTCTGCCTGTTCTTAGCGCAGCTTCTGGAGTTTGTACTGAATATCCTCCACTTACTCCTGAGAGTCACATTCTACCCTTCTGTGCTCTGCTCACACTCTGGTATTGAATTCTCTTCAGTTACCTCCTATGAGGGCACCATCTGTTTCTTACAGGGGCCTTGACTGGTACAAAGCCAGAAAGACCAGGGTTCAAATCCCAGCTCTACCACTTACTAGATTTACGACCTTGGGAATACTAGTTAACCTTGCCGAGCCTCAGTTTTATCATCTCTAACATGGGCATAATGTCAGTGCGTACCTCATAAAGCTGTTGTGAGGATTCAATAAGAGAATTCACGTACATACATGTAAATGGTATTATCACGGTGCAAGGCCCATCGTAAGCACTTAATGCGTGGAATCAATTTGATTACTACCACCTGTGCTTGACGTTTCAGACTGTGTAAGACAGACAGGGAATGAGAGAGACAGAGACAGGAAGTCATGGATCAGTGGCAGGGGCCTGGCCCTCTCACTGAAGACGTTTCTATGAGCAACTCCTTCTTTCTAAAGACCCTGAATCTACCAAGAAACTTCTTGCAGAAAAGGTGTGCAGAAAGAGGGTGACTCAGACAACCTGGCACTAGAGAGATGCTGAGCACCCCTGGGTCCAGCAGCTCACAACCCTCCCTTCTTGGACTCAGTCTCCAGCCCCCCCTCCCTAGAGTCTGCAGATGGCCGGGATACCCTGCTGCTTCTCTCTTAGGGGTACCCCTCCTTCGCATCCCCTCCTCTCAGTTTCTAGCACAGAGCCTAACAAATCCAGGGAGTGTGCAGCTCTGTAGGGCTCCTCCCAGCTGTCGAACTACAAAACAAAGAACAGATGAGAGAGGAGGGGAAAATTAACATTCACCGACCTCCCAAGTGTTCAGAGCCGGGGATACAGCAGTGAAAACAAAACAAAACAAAAATTCTTCAAAATACTGGCCCTCTTGGAGGTTATATCTTAATGGGACAATGAGACAGACCATGAACACAATACATTAGTAAATTATTACATCAGAGGATGGTTAAGAGAAACCCAGGAGGGGTGCTGGAGGTGTGGTTTGAATAGGGTGGTCAGGGCAGACCTCACTGAATAGGTGACATCTGAGCAAAGAGGGAAGGAATTGGGGAGAGAGCTGTACATGTATCTAAGGGAAGAGCAGTCTAGGCAGAGGGAACTGCAGTGCAAAGACCCTGCAGTGCCTGGGTTTTGAAGGAACAGCAGGAGAGGAGAACAGGATGGCTGGAGGAGTGTGAGCCAGGAAAGAAAGCCGGCCATGAGGCCAGGTGAGGCCAGATTCCTGCAGCTCTGGCAAGAACCTTTCCTCTGAGTGACATGGGAAGCCACTGGCAGATTTTGAACAACAGCTGTGATAAGAAGTGACTTATGTCCCATTCAGTACTTCTACTTCTCTAGAACTGGAATTGTCTTTCCCATTGCTCATTTGAATACACAGAGGTTAAGTGATTTGCCCAATAGAGCAAAGCTAATGTGTAGGGGAGCTGGGATTCAAAGCCAGGTCTGTCTGACTCCAGGGTTCTTTCTACCGCTTTACGCTGCCCTGCTCTGACCTTGGCCCTGCACCATCTTTCCCCCTGTGGAAGTAGGTCCGACCCAACCCTGGCTGTCCTCAACAACCCCTGCAGCCAGTAGCCAAGAGGCCTGGGGACTCCGGTGTTATCACCAGTTGGGCAAGTGGGCCAGATACTTGGGCCAAAGGAGGAAAGAAAGATGGACAAGCCCCAAGCCCAGGGTCCTCTTACCTGTCACTTCTTTGTCTGCAAAGTCTTCAGGGACAGAGGGGGTGGGTACAGCCAGCCCGTGGTTCTCCTGAGCATTCTGAAAGGGAGCAGAGAGATCAGGGAACAGGCAAAGACAGACAGGTAATCATTTTTATTTATTTATTTATTTATTTTTATTGGAGAACAGCCATGGTCATTGGTTACACATTGCTTTCATGCTACAATGGCACAGTTGACTCTTTTAGGGAGGGCACAGCTCACAGTGGCCCATGTGGGGATCGAACCGGCAACTGTGGTGTTATCAGCACCACGCTCTAACCACCTGAGCTAACCAGTCACCCCTAGGTAATTCTTAGATCACTGCTGGGTGAGACCATTTTACTGCTCAAAAATCTTCAGTGATAGTAATGGGTGCACAACCTTGTGCGTACACTAAAATTTTTAAAAAGGGCTCACTTCAAAGGTGAATTTTAACATACAGCCGAGGTTTGTTATTTGAGGTAGTTATGATCTGTAAAGTTGCTGCCAACACTGATTAGCAAAGACTGAATCAATGCCCTGAGGGAAATACAGGGTTAGGTTCCTGCAAACCCTGGTCACAACATTTTCAACAATCAATCAATACATAACCTTGCTTTATATGTGTTTCTATTTAAAGATGCCTTACTTAATATATATCATTGACTCGTTGACATCGAACTCATGGCCACTGTAACTTGTGCCTGAATGAGGCTTATCTAACACATGTATTTTCTCTCCAGGGCACAAACACAGCTTTCCTGCACTTAGGCACTTCAGCACTACTCTTGGGGACCATTTTAAACAGTGAAATCACCAACAAAAAGTGAAGAAATACAAAAAGTGTGGCCCTAAATAGAAAAGGACACTTGTATGCTTGTATGAAAGCTGAAACAAGAAGCAAAGTGTCCGGCCAGCTGAGTGGCTCAGTTGATTAAGAGTTAGCTTAACAGCGCGAGCTCTTAAGGGTCGCCGATTCGATTCCCACATGGGCCAGTGACGCTGCGCCTGAGCTGAGCTGCTACTGAGCTGCCAACAGGTGGCAGGATGGCTCAGCTGGTGAGAGCACGTGCTCCTAACAAGACTGCCTGTTTGATGATGGGCTCCGCCCACCCACATCTAAGACTGAACTCAGCACCCTGAGCTGCGCTGCCACCCGGATGGCTCAGTGGATAGAGCATGCACTCTTAACAACAAGGCTGCTAGTTAGACTCCTGCTATGTTCACCCACAACTAAGATGGTAACAACAGCACCTTGAGCTTAGAGGCCACGAGCTGCCAACGGGCAGCCAGATGGCAACTGGCGCCCTCCACAAAGAAGATTGAAGAACAACAACTTGGCTGGTCCCCCTCCCCAATTCCCCAACACTGTTCCCCTCTCCCAATTCCCCAATTAAAAATAAAAGAAGCAAAATATCGTCTTATTTGACCTCAGCTGGGAATGCGTGCATCGAGTGGCTGACAATTTTCACTCCCCTGCGCATGTCCAAAACATCTTGAGTATTGATTTTGGGGTAACACATACATGTTAGTGAGTAGTCAAATTTTCAAATACTGTATAGAGTCCACAAATAATGAGAATCACCTGTGTATGAATTATATCTCAAAACAAAACAGAACAAACAAACCTGCCATGACACCCAGGGACATCTACAAGTTAAAAGCCGAACCCCTCAGCCTGGCCTCCTGCTCACTCTTGGTTTTCATCAAGTATTTACAGAAAAATAAATAAAAAGTAGTGAACCGGGCTATTGACAGCACTGCAGATGCCCTTCTGATCTCTAAGCCTCACAGGCAGAATGTGTTTATACAGCTGTCGGTTTGTACATACTCTTTTGCATTCTATTTTTTTCTCCAAACACACATTTCCATATGTCAACAAAGACCACACAGCTGTCCTTTGAAGAGCTATAGAGCGTTTTATGGCTGCTTTCCAGGCCCTCAACAACCCGGCCGCACACTTGCCAGCCAACTTTTATTCCCGACTCACCAGTTATACCCATCTTGCACTCCAGCTTGACCAACTCCCCCACCACCATCTTTCCAACCCACTCATATAGTTCATGTTCATCCCTGATGCTGTGTGTTGGTCAGGCTGTGCCCCTGGTCCCACCCTCCATTTCTAACAATAATGCCCCTTGCACTGTGCTCTAAACACATGATCCCAGTCACGTGACTCTACTTGCCAATGATGGCATGAGACCTCGGGGCTAAATGGATTCATATTCAAGAAGGGGGATTCAGGGTAGGTGTTTCAGAAATATCCACAAGACCCTGGGGTACCAAGGGTACTCTCAGAATTACCCTGGTCATTTGCGGGCAACAACAACTCCTCTGTTTGTTTAAAGAATTCTGCAGCTGGAATGGCCTTGAGGTACCATCTAGTCTCTTTTTCTGCCTCTACTTGCTTCACATGGCCAACACACATCTGTTCTCAACATCGCTCAAACCCAATGATTCTGAACCAGGGGCAGGTATGGGGACCAGCCCATCTGAGGAGAGTCTCCCAAGACATTCTGAGATACAGCACATGCGCACACACACACTCACACACACATCACTGATTGTCTAATAATATCCACTGAGTATGTACATTCTGATTTTGATGAGATGGAAGCCAGAGCTTCAAAAACCAGGTTGAGATCGCTGGTGATTCTTTTGAACATAATTGTCAAATAAGAAAGACTTGGGGACTTAGCATTAAAATTCATCCTTTGAATTTGGCCAGCAGTGTGACTTGGGATGAGCAGTGGTGATGGGGGACGGGGGCGGTGATGTTAAACTCATTTATGCACTCACTGTGTGCCAGCACTATACTGAGAGCTTTACCTATATTATTTCAAATCCCTTAACAGAGCCAGGGTGCAAACCTAGGCCTCCTGACTGACCTTTTCTACAAACCCCTGAGAGCCATTTTCTTCATTTATAAAATGAAGATAATACTTCCTACTTTGCAGGACCATGATGAGAATCAAATGAGATAATATTCCTAACCCAGGAAATCAGTGCTAGTTGAAGGATTATGTTTTCCAACCCTCTCCCCCACAAAGGCAAAAACACCGTGAATAATAAAGCTAAGCTGCCTAGAATCCTGGAAGCACCTTGTGGGTCACATTGAGTGCTGAAGGATAATTACGTGTGGAGGAAGAAGGCGGACGGACTTTATGGGCCGGAGGTAATGCTGCCCAGCCACGCCTTGATCCTAAAGAACCCCGGAAACACATTAGGCTGCCAACACCACAGGATAGAACTCTGTCTCCCAAGGGGCCTCGGAGAAGCTTGCCCAGGCAGGGCTAAGGCTTTTCAGGTCCCCACATGTAAGGAGTCCCAGGACATACCCTCCACCTCACCACAGTGTTTGAGGTGTTGTGGTGCTCCAGTGTCCACCACCCTTGAGGCAGGTCCCGAAGTCCAGCCTCATTCCTTCAGGAGCTCCCAGCACTGACCTGAACACAGCCCCTCATCTCCAAGCCCCAGCTGGCCCTGCTCCGTCCCACTCACACCTACACGGGCTCCGGTGGCTCACTCAGCTGTCCCTTCCACTGTGTGTATTCAGAGGAGGCAAATACAAATTCATTTTAACCTCAGTCCTAGAAAAGCAGACCTGCAAGGTGAACTGCCCTCGCTCACTACAGGACCCAGGCAGCTGGCATCAAGGGCACTGCTTGGATGGTGACATAGGTCAGTGAGCAAATGGACACGTTTAGACAGCATCCATCTCCATGGGTGCTGGATTTCCTGATCCACCTCTCTTAGCCTCAGAGAACCAAGGAAAAGCCTCATTAAGAAGAGGGCTTGGGGCCGGCCGAGTGGCTCAGTTGGTTAAGAGCTTGCTCAAGAGTGCAAGCTCTAAGCAACAGGGTCACCAGTTTGATTCCCACATGGGCCAGTGAGCTGCGCCCGAGCTGCACCCGAGCTGAGCTGCCGCTGACCTGCCACTGAGCTGCCAACAGGTGGCAGGATGGCTTAGCTGGTGAGAGCACATGCACCTAACAACAAGACTGCCTGTTCAGTGGTGGGCTATGCCCACCCACAACTAATTAAACACAGCACCTTGAGCTGAGCGGTGTGACTGAACTTGGAGTTGAGCTTGCTGTGCCCTCCACAATTAAGATTGAAGGACAACAACTTGGCTGTTCCCCTCCCCCAATTCCCCAATAAAATCTTAAAAAAAAGAAGAAGAAGAATAAGAGGGCTTGGAGGTGACACCTAAATGTTATGTGTGACCCTGGATTGACTCCTGGGATGGGGGAGGGGTCTGCCATGAAGGACAATAATGGGACAATTGGCAGCAGTTGAATATATATTAAGGTAGATTAGATAATAGTATCGTATCACTATTACATTCCTGAATTTGATCATTGTGCAGAGAATGTCTCTGTTCTTAGGTAACACACACTGAAGTATTTAAAAGGAAAGGGGCATGATGTCTCAACTTTTCAGGGGTTCAGGAAGAAACAGTATGTATATACCAAGGGAGGGAGGGAATAAATAAAGCCCATGTGGCCAAATGCAATGAATCTGAGCCAAGGCTCCAGGGAATTCTTTGAGCTATTCAGGCAACTTTTCTGCACATTCAGATTGGTTAAAAAGGAAAAGTTACTTAATGCCACCGAACGGTACATTTACAAGTGGTGAAAATAGTAGGTTTTATGTTATATGTATCTTACAATGTGAAAAAGTTAAAACAATGACAAGAATATCAAAAGAGCAAGCACTGGGGGAGAGTTAGAGCTTATCCACCCACTGGCCATCGGCACCACACATGCCCTGTTCTCCCACCTCCCCATACTTCCAATCTTAATAATAACTGCTGCTACTTCCCTAGTACTCACTGTACTAGATACTCTTTTTGCATTTTCTATCTCTTAACTTACTTTTCACAACGACCCAATGACATAGGTGCTGTTATTGTCACCTCTATTTTATGGATGAGGAAACTGAGGCACAGAGAGGTTATGTGACTTCCCCAAGGACCCACAGCCAATTATATATCACTGTCTTTCCGGGCACCTGGTCATCACCCGCACACCCAGCTTGTCACCCAGTTCGGCCAGGTACTTCCTGAATTCCTCCTTT